TTTGTAGCCTTTGCCGGTCGAGAAGTTCGAATAATCGGTTCGGTTTCGAACACGACATTATGACCATCGATTCGGCGATTGTGAATAAAAATGAAAAAAAATCGTACGATATCTAAACGAATCTGTCGACAATTGAGTTATCGTATTCTGAATTGACCTGCAGGTCATACAAGGGAATCTAGCTAAAGCGCGGGTCACACCGCGAACGAAGCTAAGCTAACGTAGCTTAGATCACGTAGACATCTGTTCATACTTCGGTTCACACCGCAAACTAAACCGACCTAACGTTCCCTCTAAGCTATGTAAAATATGTCGCCCTGCGGCCGCCCTTCACCCCCGCACATATCCATAAAGTAGCACGTCACTACTTACTACGTATTTTCTTAGCTTACCTTTGCATGCAACTACGTGAGCTAAGTTAACTTAGCTTCGTTCGCGGTGTGGCCTGCGCTTTAAACATATCTACGGTCTTTATATTACGCATCTTTGTCGTCATAAGTGTTGTTTTTATTATGCCTTACCTACTTCTACCGCCATTACTGCGATTCGGTTTAGAAGAGTAGATAGACAGAGACATATGCATAACAGGAAAAAAGGTAAGGGTGCTGGAGGAATTAAAGGTACATGGATCCCCTCAGATCATTGTGATTTAGAGCTCTGGCGACACTGCAACTGTTAACCACCAGGCGCGCGACTTGTTCTTGCTACAATATAATAACTAATAATAATCAGAAACGAGTTCTTGAATGGAGGCCAAGATATGTCAAGAGTAGTCAAGGACGTTCTCCAGCTAGATGGAATGACGACCTAAAGAATGCAATGATGCGACAAATTCTTGTAATTGATGTAGGACTACAATAACATCATGATGAGTGACGTATTATTTTTTAATACAGGATAATTTTTGCGGAACATAAAAATATTTATGATTCTCATTCTTTGTATTAAAGTCGCTTGGTAGGAATTTTAAAGCTAGTCAAAAAGTACCGTAAAACTCTAGAATTTTCTACAGTTAGCCGTGATAGAGGTGTACCGGAACAACGTAGGTTATATTAACAAACTGGCAAAGCCCGACTACATACTAATGAGGCCGATATCGATGAAGTTAAATGAAACAATTTTGGAATATAAAAAATACTGTGTCACAAATTAAGCAATAAGGTGCAATTTTTATCAAACAATTTTGCTTTGTGTGTTGCTAGCTGTGTCCCATTGTACTCGGAATTCTTCTGGACTGACAAGTTAGGGTCAATTACGTTTTGTTTGACTAAACATTGACCTTGAGATCCAATTGTCTGGTAAAACAAATTAATTCCTGGTTTTGTTCCTTACTGGTAATTGTAGGTTTTATTTACTTTGATAATTCATCCTATTAATTTTTCATGTAATAGAAAATAGCATTTATTTTCAAATTCCCTTATAGTAAGTGAGTGACCATAACTCTTCTTAAGGTATGTTCTTAAACCATGAATTGTCAGGCATATTGTAATTTTGTATAATAATGGCATTAATATTAAGTCGCAAAAGAAAAATTTAAAATAAAAAAATTAATAATTTAAAGTCCCAAATGAATAATTTAGAGTCCCAAATTCAAAGTCCCAAATAAATAATTTGAAGTCCCGAATGAATAATTTAAAGTAACAAATGAAATGTTTTCAAGCCCGTTACACCAAGTACCAATAAATGAATAATTTAAAGTTTATATCGGCATAATAGATATAATTACAGACGATGTTACTTTAAGAACAGACTCAAAGCAAAATTATTTTATGATGTCATTGACTTACAAATAAATGGACGACGGGTCTAATACAAAAACTACGAAAAAAATGTCCCAAGTCAACCTATTTAAACGTAGTAACATGTAAAGGAATATGAAAAAGCTAAAACGTTGAATTTAAATTGTAATGTTATCGCAGTACTGTCTAATTTTGCTTGCTTAGCTGTCAATCGAACAAACGAAGACTAAGGCGTGAATGACGCTCTGTATACGATTTTAACGCCCTATAAGTTCGGACACTTTTTAGCGCGGACCCGACGTCCATATAATTGTAAGTCAATGTATGATGTAGACAAAAAAAAATCCTCTATAAGATGAATTGGATGGTGACAAGCAATAGCGTACCAAACCACAAAAACTTGAAAATTTAGATTTTAATGCCAAATTATGTCTTATCGTCGTGTTTATATTTTACAAGCATAAACTAAGTGATTTGAAACCTTCAAATATTAATCAATGATAAAAACTGTTCACATAGCCAACCCACGAAAAAAATCTTTAGGTGTCATTTACTCAAAACGTTGATACGTTATTATTTATCAACATCCAATTGTGGTAGTGTTATGAACGAAAATGTGTTCACAAAATAAAGCATCAGCGTTCAATCGACATCGGCCTCCGAATTATAGAATATACTCGATTTCGCTAACAAATTCATTAAGTTATTCTAAAATTTACAAGGGGTGTCGTAAACGAGGTGAAAATTTCAAATGAGGTTAAGTTTCGAGGCACGTACGTGTATTGCCATTTCTTTCATTATTGTTATTAAATAGACAATATATTAAATATTTATTCAGCGAGTTTTATATGGGCAATTACTATATACTATTTGTCATATACTCTCATAGGAAGCGCAGAAATGAACATGGTCAGGTTTTTTTAACACTTGGACTGCCTTCTGTTTCTACACTAGGGAAGTATTTGGGTGCACCTGGCGTCTCCCACGGGTTACTAGTGTTAATTTTTTTAAGGCATCTTTATCTGATAAAGACTCAACCATTTCACTCGCCTTTCTTTATAAAACACTATAATATGCAAGTTATGCTATATACGTAAACAGCTATAACTAATAGAGACGACAGAAAATGGAATCTCGTTCACAAGTCCCCTTCGACAAGTAACACGCGATCAGTCTACGGTGTAAGAAAATCGAAAAAAATTAATACCCTATAGGAAATACCACAAGTAGACAGAGATGGGCAAGAGCCCAGGTTTTAACCCGACGCTTTATAAATGCCGGGTTTAAATCGAGGACGTCCGAAATCGAGGGCAAAATCTATTTACAACTAAATATTTGTTGTAAATGAAATTTGTAATAAGTATGGAGTTATACCAAATTCCATATTCGCTGTCTCCGCCCGCGATTTCGGGCAGAAATGGGTTAAAACCTGGCACTGTAGTTAAAAGCCTGGTTAAAGCCCGGGCGGGTTGATTCGGTTTTAACCCACTGCCCATCTCTGCACTAGACAATTTTAAATTGAGAATCACTTTTTCATTGCTCACACTGTTTTACGCAACAAATTACTTAAAAGCGTATTCATTTGCTTTAAACATGGAAGTTGTTACTTTTTACACAACAACGACCTTGCGAGCACTTTCCTATTTTTTTAATAATTTATTGTCTGGAGAGTATTGTTTTCTGCCATTTTTTCGAGTAAAAATTGTTCATACTATTCTCATCCGAAACGTGCACTGTGTTTTAAACTACAAAATAATTTGTTACGCGCCAATTGATACTCACAATTGAAAAGCCCAATTTAAAATAATCAACTATCGACAATACTGGGCCAAGGTGAAAAGTTCTCGGTTGGACAGGCCAAGATTGTTTTCTTACGTCTATAATGTCTAGTGGATAAGGTGGCATTTTCTAAACACAGCTACACTATTTTGAAACGTTACATAATAATAAAGAGTAACGTGATTTCGGCTGTGCAGAGAACTTTGCACCTTGTGCACAAATCTTACAACTATAGGCCGACTTCGTCAGTATCACTGTTAGGCAGCAACGATGTACATACGTACGCGACTCTACCTTGTTGTTAAAACTGATAAAATTTATTGATATTACTATGTTTACAGCCGAATTGATGATTAGTGACAACACAGCTAAACGCATGCATTACTACACACACTTGTACATTTAACGGAACTTTAATGAATTCACCAAAATAATGAAGTGTTTTTTCAAAAGTCTAATTTAAAAATAAAAAATATTGTCGACTGTCATTATTTCTATTGATTTGTTGTAAATTTCTATTATTACAAATTTGTCAAATTCAGAAAACTTCAATGAAAACGTTTTTTATTCATTAAAGTTTGATTTAATCTATCGTTTCCATTTTAACGACCTCTGTGGTCAAGTGACTTACACACCGGTTTTCATGGTGTAGCCATCTTGAGGTCCTTTTTCAGGTCTATCTGCTTTGTCGCAAAATATTAAAAAAAGTTAGACTTTTTTTTAAACTGTACTGAATCGACGTGACAAGATGATAAGTTAATTGACACTTATGTCTACATTCTTATTTATTTAAATATAAACTTTACATTCTCCCTTCTTTGTTCCGCTAAATGTGCCGCTGTGTGTTTCGTTCTTCAAAGTTCATCTAATTATAGTAGAAAATAGTTACTATATTCCTAACCGGAAGTGTATCATCAAAAGACATATAGTACAAAATCTAGTAGTCAGTGGTCAGACTGGAAAAACTACCTAATATGAAACACCGAACATCACGAAACATTAAATCAACGCCAAACTAGTTACCTACACTTACAAATTCGGTAAATAGAACTGTAAGTACCGCATTTTTTTAAAGTACACACAGAATCTAATTCCTACACCCTACACATGTGAGTTCACATTTTAGCTTACAAATTATAGAACTCTAAGGGGTATTTTATCAACTGTGGCTTACAGGCCGGATTAATATAAGGAACGCTAACAAAATTTTTCGCGAACCGGTAAACTATATTAATCGAACGCGTCTTTCTCTGTTTCGTCACTTAACATAATTTAACCAGGTGACGGCAAAACAGGTGGATGGATGCGAAAGTTAGTTTGTTTTTAACTATACACGTATCTGTAATTGGCGTGTTTTCGAAACATATAGGATAGTAATTTCGTTGTAATTGTTTATACTTTGGTACTCCACTTTCTCACCGTCCACATAATTAATCGACCTAATTTAAAAACATACAATTTCAACTACGCTATAAAAAGACATTCAATTTTACTATAAAAAGCATCAATCAACAATAAATAAAAGTAAATCCAGCGGTTAAATAAAATTATATCAATTACTGCGAAATTTAAAAAAGATGTAAATATTTTTTTGTTGCATTGTGTAACCACAGTTATTTCTACATTATGATTGCATTTCGCGTATGTTTCTTACATTTAATTTAAACGCAGATAAGAGTATAATAAATAAAATTTCGTAGTCTAAAAATGTCTACTGTATGAATAGTTTAAAATTTGTAAGCCATTTTATGTCCGACGTCAACAAATTTTTAGTGTACTTCGCTCGGGTCCGTGATTACACATATGGGCCCAGGTGTGGAACAACTGTATAACCAGGTGTTTCTTGAGCAGTGAACATGTTAAGAATATTTGAGTGCGTAATGTTGTCTTACGTCGTAATCGAGTCGTGTCGTAACCACTTTGGTCCTGACTGCCTGTTGCTTGTTTGTTTAATCCGTGCTTTTGAACTCGGTGTCAATGCGCCGCTCTAGAGCTTGCAATTCCTCTTCAAGCTCCTGCTGTAAAATATAAATATATATTTTATTAGCACGCTCACTTCATTCAAAATACATCATAAGAATTACCACCTACTGCATAACAGAATTGGGAGCCGAAGATCATGAGGATGGTTGCATAGATAAGTAAACGTAGCTGAGAACCATTTCGGAAGCGGAAGTTTTTCAGTCAGACTGACCGATGTTACACGGACGTAAAATACACAACTTTTTTGGACTGACCTTGCAAAGAGTTGAATGTAAAATAAACCTGCTTGCAGCTACAATCTCCCCAATGCTAAGGATGCCAACAGATTGATTGCATGTTTGCAGTTAAAGCGTGAAGTAGTAAACAACTGCACACATTAACTGCATGCAGTCGAAACCGACTTCAAGCAGCCGAGATCGACTGCAAGTAGTTAATGCGTGAAGTCGTTATCCGAGCCATCAACTGCATGAAGTTGATTACGACGTCACGCATTAACTGCAAACAAGTCAAGTAGCACTAGAGCTCCTTTTGAAAGAGTTCGTTTATGGAGGTACTGCCTACTTACATATTTCTATCGCCAAGCAGTAATGTGAACATTATTGCGTTCCGATTTTATTACATGCATATGGGATTTGTCAACTTGTGTCTCAGGGTGACGGGTGCAGTGGGAGTGCTCTTTAGATCTTTGCGATATAAAGCTCTAAGTGGCACTGCAACTGTTATGAACAGGCACGTAGCTTTCCACTAGACTCACGAAATTGTTCGGCCCGTCCTTCGTATAAAAAAAAATAAATGAGTCAATCTAATTAAGCACCCTTAGCAACGAGTGACCGGCGATCGTATGTTGTCTAAAAACCTCCTATTATCTTACCCAAATCGTTGTTTTAGGGACAGGCCATTGCGAAGGGTTCACTATCTTCAGGAACGAGGGAAGACAGATTTATCTACACTTACATCGTCCGCGCGGTTGGAGAGATCGGAGGCGCCACCTTGCACTACGAGCCTGTCAGCGCCAAGCGCGCGCCTTTCACCGGACACGTTGAACATCTGCGCAAGAGTACATTCACTAGCGGCTTCAAGTTCTGTTTACTGTCCTCGAGTCAGAACCTACCTTCTAGCACTCGGAGTAAGTACGTTTGAAAATTGTCTATCTCATGACCTTCAATGTAATTTTCGTAGGACCCATAGATTTAGTATATAGGTACCCATAGATTGGCAATGCAAGTGAAAGAGCGTTAGTATACACGTATGTTAGAGCGAGATGGGTAGACGAGACTACTTCATTATACGCTATGAGCCTGTATGAACCTAGGGTCAGATGACAAAGTTCGTTTATTTTTGAAAAATAATTGGTTTTAAAATGTGAAATAGTGTTAAACGGACGTTTATTAGTCATGGTAACGTGTTCAGTGCACGGATGTAACTCATCTAAAAAGGAAAACTCGCAGAATTGTACATTTCACATGTAAGTACGACTTAAATATTTAGCTGTCTAAAAGCACTACCACAAAAGTTTTTTACATAAATATATCCGTAAAATTATACCATTCAAGTGCATTAATAACCCAAATGTATACGAATTCAATTAAAAAATATATCAAATACGCGAATTTATGAAATTCATAACCCCACTTTCATAGGGATTGACGCAATCGATAATATGTTATCGAGATGTCATTAACTGAAAAAAAGAAAGTCAAAGGCGTGGCTTTACATACATTCGGCATACAGCCGAAATCATCTTCATACTTAATATTATTGAATCTGAAATTTCTGGTTTTAGTACTTTATATTTAATTAATATTGCATTAGTGCATTATGTTTTGTCCACATTAAAACAAAAATTTCTTTTAATAGCGTAGTTGAAGCACCCATTTTTTTATGTTAATTATTGTTGTTGATTCAGATTTCCTCAAAACATTGAAGTTCGACAGAAATGAGAGAAGACTGGGTTCCCAAAAAGTTTTCGAAAATATGCAGCAAACACTTTGAGGAAAAATGCTTTTCCTTTAGAGGCAAGCAAAGCTACGTTCTGGTTCTGTACTCACGTTATTCATTACAATTAATGGATTTTTGTGTAGTACTACTCTCGTCAACAACAAATCAGCGATTTGTCGTTGTTAGAGTTCTGTTCTGTACCGAAATACGATACTCGTATAGGATCACTTGCGTATCCATCTGTCCGTCTGTCACAGCCAATTTACTCCAAACCTACTGGACTGATTATTTTGAAATTTGGTACACATATGCATTGGTGTGACCAAAACGTGTAACGTAAATAAATTACTTCTGAAGTCACTATTGGGAGGGAACGTTCTCAAGTATATATTTATTGTAATTTTGAAATATAAATAAATATATTAAAAAAAAAATATTTGGAATTTGTCCAGCTTGTCGGTTGCGGTTGTCAGCTTGGTTCGAGGCCACCATACTCTCCCGCCGTAACTGATCATGGGTCTTATCACCGTTTTGTAGAGCCATAGTGTTATTTTGGGTGAAAGTCCCCATTGTTTACCTACCGTCCTATGGCACTGCCAAAAGGTGATACTAGCTTTTTTAATTTTGTATTGAATCATTAATTAATTAATTAATTAACGTCTAGGCGTTTTGCGATAAGACATTTTGGTGAATACGACGAAGTGAAATGCCGGTGTAATATGTTAATCGATATTAAAGTTAAATCAGTGGATGGCGCAACACTATTTATCTTGCACACATGCACATTATACGCACACAGATGTATTTTTGTTTTGGTCTCGTCTCCAATACTTCAGGGCCAATCTATGGATATACTAAATCTATGGTAGGACCCGTAGTCTGGTACTTACGTCGTCGGTGTTAGCGGGCAGCGGCGGCAACGTGGAACGGATGGCGTCGAATGTGAACACTTCGCCCGGCGGCCACGCCGGTGGAGGTTCGCCGCGTCTTTCGCGCAGCCCGCCGCCGTACTTGACGCGGTAGTCCGGTAGCAGCTCCGATTGCACTTTAAACATTGTTTCATCAAAGTAAAAAATTGATAAGCTTTTAATTTACTAGCTTTTGCATTGGAAATTTTTCAAAATGAATAATTTAATATTTTTCCCGATATTTATCCAATATCTTTCCTATCATTTTTTACATTTCACGTTGACACCTGTCAAAAGTTGAAGTTACTGAACGAAAGCGATAGAGCCGACTCGGAGGCGAGTAAGCGGAGGAGGAGAAATGTCGGAGGTATTTTCGCTGCTGTGAAATTATTTTAAATCTCGTTTTTCTATAAGTGGCTTTTAGTTAGACAAGTTATTTTATAATTCACGCTAAATTAAATTTCAAAAGATATATTTTCTAGACGTAGAACATAATATGAGCCTTCGAGATGATATTTTTCCATTTGTTCGGAAATTTTTCCGTTCGGAAAATTATCCAACAGGACTTTTGCATGGTAACCTACATTCGAATAACGAGCATTACCGCGCCGTTGCACATTTGCTCGCACAATTTTAGTAGGCGGCGATGATATTTACGATCGGTTTGTCGCCGTTAGTTGAAATGACGCTTGTGACAAAAACAAACATTAAAATTAGAAAAATATATACTTTTCTCTTGCGGTGACGTCATACCTTATCCACCTAGTAAAACATAAAAATAGAGGCAGATCGGCCTTTTTTACTGATCAGGGCAGTATTGAAATGTTTGAAGAAATGTCACAAGCGCCCATTCAACTAACGGCGGCAGCGGTATAAACAGTAGCTTATATATATATATATGAAATCTGCGACGCACATATTTAATGGAATTATGGCAACGTAGTAAGAAGAATGATTACTACCTCTTATTTAGTTCTTTTTTATCGGAGTAACTTTTATTTCGTCATGTTAAATCCCATTTACAGTACACAATTTAAAGTATAAAGTGTTGGGTCATTTCAGGTTAGTTTTCCACCAAGAATCCACCATAATTAGGTAGAAAAAATTAACTTGATAGTCACCCTGTACAGCTGTAATTGAGCGTTAGATCCCTTTTGCTGTTTAAGTGACTCTGATATAAATGCACCAATTAAAAATAATTTTACTGTATATTTTGATCAGTAATACAAAACGAAAAACGAAGAAAACAAACAAAACAACACTTAGAAAAATTGTTAAGGTCCGTTAGTTCGTTCCGTAGCTTCGTTGGCATAGCGTCTGGCACTAGTGTAACAAACTCAAACATCGTGACATTCAATCAATAAAAAAAACAACTGTATATTTTGTCCTAGAGTTAGCAATTTCACACTTTACAATAAAAATATTGATGTGGTACTCACGATCATCAAAAGAATATGGGCTGATGTTCCTCGAGGCCTCGTGTTGTACGGGCACAAATATATTTGGTATGTGTGGCGCAAGGTTGTCCTGACTCTGAAACGTCATCGCCGACGCGTTGCTGGGGCCCTGGTACACTGATGGCGCGTACTGGAGGTTGTTTGGCTCCTCATGGATAGGCAAAATATTGCTGAACCGATAGAACGGCCGATCCGCCATAGGAACCATCATGCCGTTCTGGTTCAACGTCATGGGCGCCTGGTTGTGTATCAACGCGTTCTGGAAGTTTCTATAATGAAATTTAAACTAGTTCAGAAATATTGATCATCGTAATCGCAATAATAATGATTACTTAAAATTTATCATTGTAGTGTCTTTTTGAAGATGGAGTAGAAGGACATTTCGATACCTCCTACGTAAACTATGGTATGTCGAAATTATCAAGTTTACAGGGGAGCTTCAGTGAATTCAGAACTTTAAAAGGCTAGATATGGGTTAGATGATGTATTAGATGATCACTCTATGTGAGTAACGAGCTTTGCCGAATAAAACGGAGAACTTTAAAACGCTCCCCCGTAAACTTGGCAATTCCGACATACGATACTTTACGTAGGAGGCGTCGATTTACAGGGATGCTAGTTTCCTTAAAACTTTAAATAGTCATGTAGTTGTTGTCGACAGTTTTATCGATAGAATTGAAAGAAGGTAAAATTCGCCAAATGTGTCTGAATTGTAAATGTTACGACGACGATTTAATAAAAAAAAATGTGTTTGATGCCGTTTGTGTTATCAGGGTTATACAATTATTTACGACCTTAAAGTTTTATTATACTTATTGTATAAAACGAAATTAAGTAAAAGATATATTGCAAAATGTGAATTCTAAGTTTTAACAGATTACAGCTTGAAAAGCGTTCGAAACATTCATTATCGTCAAAAATAGAAAACTACCATTTAAAATGCATTTTTTTGCAGGTTATCCACTTTGTTTCCATTTTGGACACCTAATTATTATTCATTCTAGCTGTATTAATTATGGTATGAAACAGGTCACAAAGGAATTCCGGTCTTTTTCAGGATCTTATTTATCTTATGGTCTTTAAAGGATAAAGGTTAGTACTATAGAAATTAAGCAAGTATAAAGTAATAATGTTATTTTCTCGAAGACACGATGTACTTACGAGGGTGGCAAGGTGTCGACACCGTGCGTGTCAGTGGCGTACTCCTGGGACGGTATTATCTCCAGCGGCTGCGGCGGCATAGTGGGCATCTCTGATAAACATATACACAGATTAGATGATAATAAGTCAAATTCCCCAATTCGATACTTCATGACAACGTAAATCAGAGGTTACCAAACTTTTTGTCTCACGTACATTGTTTCGGTTTTGTGTAGATAGCCTTTCCCCTTTTTTTTATGTTACCAAGTAACGGGACGGATAAATCGTGCACCTGGTGATAAGCGACACGTAACAGTCCTGTCCGTAACAGTTGCAGTGCCACTCAGAGCTTTAAATCACATAGATCTGTCCATTACCTTTCAAAACCGAAACGCGTTACTGCTTGGCGGTAGAAATAGGTAAGCTGGCTGTACTTCCCTGGACGAACTCTTTCACAAAGAGCTTTACTGCCATAAAAACCGCCAATATCCAGAAGGATTTTCACACTTATCAGCCCACTCTCGCTCACACGCTCACACGCTCACACACTCACATATACGCATTCTCTGTTAGCATATTATTATTTTCCCCTCCATTGACTTACAAATAAATGGACGACGGGTCTAATACAAAAACCACGAAAAAAATGTCCCAAGTCAACCTATTCGAAATTTAAATTGTAATGTCATCGCAGTATCGCGCTGTCAGTAGAACAAATGAAGACTAAAGCGGAGTGTCGCGCTCTGTATACGATTTTAGTGCCTTACAAGTGCGGACACTTTTTAGCGCGGACCCGACGTCCATATAATTGTAAGTCAATGTTCCCCTCAGTTAATTTTTGTTTTCCTCCCTTCAAATATTTTGCTATATTATAAGGAACCCATCCAGTTGAGCTTCTGTCTGTTGAGATACAGGTTTAAGAGTCAGTGTGGTCATTTGCTAGTTCCTGTTTTGTGTGTGTTCCACTTTCTGTAAGTAATTGCATTTCTGAAATCGCTAAGTAATTGTAATTTTTGTAAAATTTTGTGGAAATAAATAAAATTTATTATTTATTATTATTATTACTGTCGTGGAGATCTTTTTTGTCGATAATAAGAAAGTGTGTATTTACATTGGTACTAATCTTTGTAAAGTGGATTATTCAACTTATAGAAATCTAAAATTGTGACAGCGATCTGCCTAGTTAATTATATATATATATATATGGTATTAACAACTCATGCACCCCCAACCTTTATTTCCCTGACATGAACTGTAGCAGTCTCAGCTCTTGTATGAATGTAGATGATTTTTATAGCATAGTTTCCCAAAGTGGTACCTACCCAGTGGGCTCTGAAGAGTCCTAGGAAGGCCTCGGAAACAACCACGGGGCGTTGATGCTGTCCAGGTTTTTTGAAGAAAAAAACCTATGTATATGTATGTATTTATGTATTTAACTACACTACAGGTGTTTTTAAGTTAATATAAAAAATACTTGTTTTCAATATTTTTTGTGGTTGGGTGTCCAATTTTTTAATATTGCGTAAGTCGACGGTGAACGATAAAGTTTGCGAACCTATGGTTAAGCGAAACGTTAAATGAAATCAATAGGATATATTAATACTGACGTGGTACGCTATAGTTGTCGAGATGAGGATGCTGCGACATCGGGAAGCGCGGGAACATGGGCTGCGGCAGCGGCATCGGCTGCGGTAGCGGTATGCCCTGCGGCACCGGGCCCATGTACGCCGCATAGTTGCCGTTAGCCTGATTCGCGCTCGGCATCGCCCTGTATCTGTTTGCATTTTGAACCATTGTAACTACTTTGCCTAAACGAGTGACTCGGCCAGTGGTGTTATAGGAAGATTATTTACTCGCTGCAGACTCAGTCATACATCATCGGAGCGGAACAGCTATACTGCGATTTCTCTGTCACCTGCATAGTGACGTACGCATGTGATATGTGCGCTTTCCGTTATCGATAAAAACTAATCAGTGCAGTAACTTTTGAGTAATTTATTGTCTTCTATTGTCTAAATGTCGTAACCTTTTTTATTTTACTACCATTCACTGTTTGAACGTTGACCATTCACAATGGATAATTTTTATAAAAATCATGTTTCACTTGTCGCATTAACATTATGGCTCAAGCACATATTGTTATCAATAATGTGCTATAAAAATTATTTTACACAGCACACTAATTTCCATTCCTACTTTCACTGTTACAACAAAATTGAACATCATCTACATATATCGATAGCATTTATCGACTGCAGTAATGCACGGCAGTGTGCTTAAACAAAACGCCAGTACCTGCTCGTCAGTGGGAGAGAGAGCGCAATATCGTCCTCCCGCTCCGATAATTTATGGCCGAGTCTGCAGTGAGTAAATAATCTTTCTTGAGACTGACCTGGACGGCTCAGGTTATTTATTATGTGAAGAGATCAGAGTTCGAAAGCTGGTAGGATCAATTTAGCTAATTTAATTTGTGTAACATTTGAAATATAAAAATATTCGATTGTAATTTGAGGTTTTCATAGACGTTTGTAACAACGATTTTGTCATTTCTATTAATCAGAAATATCTATTTTGCCATCGAGTTGTGACTCTACTACGAAATAGTGAAGTCTGATTGGAGGAAATTGGCGGCGGTAACAGGCTTTTAAATACAATAAAAATTATTTCAGAATCACGAAAAACTCGCAAATGCATCAGATGAGATTTTACACAGCCTGCGTCAAGATCATTTGTGATAATGATGTATCATATTATTATTGTCACGCATACAGGACTACTTTTTTAAAGTAACAGTAATATCATATCCTCAATAACCGTAATCAAAAATAAAATCAAATAGGATTTTGTTATATTTAACACGTCACTTTCGTATTTGTTCGCTTTAATATTGTTAATGTGATATGGAGTAACAAAAAAGTCGCAGGCAGCGTTGCAATACATTCGCAATTCTTGTATATCATGCTATACTAATAATTCGCTAACAACCAATAATACTACTTATATATAAATGTATAAGAAAGGGCGTTACGGGCTGAACACACGCATACTACGTTTTTTTATCCTCTTCAAAAACAGATTTGTTCTAGATGATATTATACATCGCCCCCAAAATATTTTTATCATCATCTTCATTATCAACCCGTTTACACGCCCCAGTGCCCAGCAAAGCAAAATATTATACCAAATTGTATTATTGCAACTGAACCCCATTTCGCTTTATTAGAAATTAAAATTATTCCTTTGTTGTTAATGTATATTTTCTATATAATCGTAACAATATAAAAAGCAAGATATTTTTTATCTATGTCGTAACATCACTGCTTTTACAATGCACACTGTACAAAAATTATTTAAAAGAACAGAAGAGATACATCGGACTGACATGTATGGGCACTGCAGATTATTTAATAAATTATTTAGCAGTTCCGCCTAGCGCGGGGACGCTTTTGTAATTAGTAAAATGTCAGGTACCTCTCTAGTTCCTCCTCGGAGTGCGCGAAGGTGCATGCGACGCCGCGCGGGCAGAAGGAGCGCGTAGCCGCGTCCCGACACATAAGCACTTTGTACTTGCTATGCGTTGGCGTCGACACCGTCGTCTGCGGCGATGGCTGGCCTGTCGCACACACCACTACACTCAATATACTCGACACTTTTACAGCAGACATGACTGAAATAACTAAAAAAATCGATATACCCTTGAATATGTTTATAGCAATTTCTATCTGACTGTAGTGAACATCAAGATCTTAAACATTCCCGTATGCAATCTACCCATTATAAAAGTACAATTAAAAGAAACTTAGACAAAATATCCATATTAAATATTTATTACATTCATGTTAAAATATCTTTCATTTCATACCTTTTGCCGAAAAGATATTGACAATATTGAAAGGTAACTGAGGTTTATTGAAAAGAGAAAATGACGACTCACCGGAAATTTTGGGAATTGTGCCGTTGCCGTGTATGTTTGTTAACGCTAACCTAAATAACCAGTAGATGTGTGAGGGGACTAAATAAAGTGGTGTAATAATAAACCCAGAATGTCTTATTACATAAATCAATGCAATTGTATGTGTCCGAATTTATAATGCTCTACGAAAATACATTAAAACGTTAATTTTTAATTTAGTCAGAAATACACTTTGTGAATGGCATAGAGACAAAAATTATTACAATGTGACTGATTTTTTAGATAAATGTTGAAATGAAATTAGTGGTTATCGTCATAAATGTAATAATGATGTATAATATTTACTAGTTTGATATTGATAGTTATTATTTTAGTGTTATTAATTGACTAATTATTTATTGTGCATGTCCAATATGACAGAGTTATAATAAAATTAATTTGAAAAATTGTAAAATTTTACATACCTAATCAGGTACCCACATCCGTCCGATACAACTACTGTCAAATAAGTAATACTCGACAAAACAAGACAGGTAAAATATGTATTCTGTTATACTATGTTCCATCTTTCGTTAATCATGTTTTAAGCAAATAAAATTTCATTTCACGTAAGAGATTTGCACTTTAGTATTTAAGATCTCGAATCAACCCGGTAGATGTGGACGCATATGCTCGTTCGCTTAGACTTTATTTAAAGTATAGTGCCATCTGTACTCACTGGTGGAAGGCTCCGAACGGTCGCTGTGCTTCTGATTGTGATTGGTGTCGCGGCCCGTGGCCTGCTGTTGGAGGTAGTGGATGAGACCGGAGACAACCTCCTTCAGTGACGTCATGATCTCTGCCAACTGTTGCCATAAAGGGCTCTTCGCGTCTGTAAAAATCGTTAAATTTATTTCTCCTTTTTATTTTAAGCAAAGGGCGTACCGGAACTGCACTACGTCTGAGCGGAATTGCAACATAGTCGATTAAGGAGCCTGCAGTAGCTTTACGTGACGCTTCACTGTATCTCAAAGCTACTATGACGTGCAGTGTACTTTCAATTTATGTACACACATCAAAAGTATATAGGGATCAAGCACGTTTTTTCCAATTACTGGAAACTAGGCTTTTTTTAAATATTTTTTTTGACCCTAATAAATAACTAAATAAACAATTTAATGAAATATTTCAAAAAAGTTAAAAACCTCGATGTCTTTTTTTTATAACATCAAGCGACGGGACGTACATGACATGCGCCTGATGGTAAGTTACACGCCTGTCCATAACAGTTACAATGCCGCTCGGAGCTTGAAATCGCAAAGATCTGAGGGGCACTATCACTGCGCCTGTCACCCTGAGACATAAGTTGACAAGTCCCATTTGCCTGTAATTTCACCAGCGCCCTTACCCTGCAAAACCGGAACACAGCAATGCTGTCATTACTGCTTGGCGGCAGAAATCGTAAGGTGGCAGTACTTCCCTGGACGAACTTCACAAGGAGCTCTACTGCTACTAAACTACTACCTAGGCACTTGATGTGTGTATAAGAAATAAACACAACATAATTAAACGTACCTGGACTAGGATCGATACTCGCAAGTCGGTCCAGGTGCATGCTCATGACGACCACGTGGGCGGGGTCACCAGTCCGTTGCAGTGCTATGAACAGTTCTTGGACAGACTGCGCAAACGACTGCGGCGACTGCAGTTTATCGATTATACTCTGCATGTGACTTTTGTGAGCCGTATCCCCGTAAAGCAACGCGCTCCACTGGTCGGGGGCTATCCGCAGACCGGCCTCGGTGGCGATCTGAACAATCTGAGCGTCGTGTTCCCGACGCAACGACTCGTAGGTACGAAATTCTTCTTTCAGTTGCATTAGCGATGAGTCGCATTCGCGTTTGGAAACCTGCAATAAAATAAACTTAATGTTGTATAAAGCTTTTTAATGTCATGCTAAATCATCGAGTATATAACCAGAAAAGAGACGAAATGTCATTTAATTCGTTTGAAAACTATTCTGCCAAATCATTACGGTGACAACTGCGCTGGAATTGGCCACCCCGAATTCGAAACAATTGACGGGTGTCATCAATTGTTTCACTTCTAGTTTAACTTGAGCTTTGCTATAATGGATGAAAATTGAAAAATTACATTATTTAATATTTAATTACCTATGAAATGTGATGCCATTTGTTTTGCAATTAGATACCACCGAATGGAACAGCCCCCCCATAGCTCGAGATATTATCTTTATTACAATAAATACAGAATATTTTTAGAATATACGTTGACGTACACACAGATCGGTTGTTGACGACAGACGAACTCTTTCACAAAGAGCTCTACTGCTACTAAATACCATTATTATAACAGTATAATTAGTATGTTAAGCCAAAACACAAAGTTTCTGGATTGCATGAAAATTAATAGGGATTGTGTGGCTTCAGATTGGTCAACTCCCGCTGTACTTAAGCAATAAATTTTATAAAGTTAAAAAAAAATTGGGAAATTTGCCAACAAATATGAAATTACACGTGTAATGACGAAATTCGCTCAAAAGTTAAATGCCACGTGTCGGGCAGCCCCACACAATCGAAATGTAGCGTTATTAGGAAGAACTGGTTGAAACCGATCACGTTTTAATATTTATTTATTTAAACATTATATACTTAATTTAAGTTATTTATTTTGGTTAGCTGGTGCCCGCGACTTCGTCTGCGTAGAAAAAGCATTGCGAGTAGCCTACTGTACAATACTAATTTTCATAGTTTTATTGGTTCTCCATATAAACTTTCATACACTATTTCACACCTTTTAAGATTTATTTTAGTGACAAAAAGTAGCCTCAGTTCTTCTCCAACGTCCCATCATTTCGTCAAAATTGATTCAGCAGATTAAGTGTGAAAACGTAACACACAGAGTTACTTTCGCATTTATAATATTACTTTGGACTATATATAAAAACTATAAGTTAGATTATTATGGTATTGTATATTATAATATTGTCATTAACTACTAAGTTTTATTGTACATTTTTACACGTACATACGCTCACACTCACACTCTTGACTCGTCACCATTGTTTATTATATAGCCTATTTACGTTTATTTCATAATAGTCTGTCTTTTTTAAAGGCGGAGTAAAGTGACATTTGCAGTGCTGCCAGTATTTATACAATTTTTTTGAAAAAACGGTTGAATTGTGCATGTTACGACGTTCTAATGATTACTAACTGCGTTACTGTCTTCTTTATTCTAATTTTGACATTTGGGTTACTAGTATTGAAATCAAGCTCAATCAAGAAGAACAGGCGGATTTGATTATCTATATTGAATTGAAATGAAAAAACTACAAAATATGTCTCCCTCTGTACATTTTTAATTGGAATAGTGCTATAAATGCAGTATATGTATGCATGCAATTACAAAAATGGACAATACAAAGAACCTGTACCTAGCTATTAAACGAATAATGCGCCAACGATGATTCATATAACCAGCGCGACTAACATTTAGCCGATAATCGACAGAATATTTATCGACTGCGGTCACTAGCTGCTTGCAAGCGGACAACACTTTTGTGTAATGAACTGTCATTGTACTCCATTTAAAAAAAAGACAGATTATAACATCATGAACAACAACATTTGTTTATAAAATTAGTAGATTTCGGACCCAGTGCAGTGCCACTGAAGGGCTTTAAACTACCTGTAATTTCAACAACATCCTTATCCTTCAAAATCGGAAAGCAGTAATTCTCTTAGACGAACTCTTTCACAAGGAGCTCTAATATTCTCAACTATACGCAACTGAGAAACTAAATTCCAGTGGCGAGGCAAACTGAGCACAAAACGTGGAAAATTTTAGGCAAGCCGGCGGGAATCGAATTATACGGACACATCGCCACTGCCAAACTCATAGGTCAATCCCGCTACAAGGTTTCGAACGGTAACCTTTCAAACGCAAAGCAACGGTTCACCAACAACTATTACACATAACAACAACATGGTTGCTTACCTTAAAACAAGAAGCTCTGTAAAGGAGCTGGACGACGTGGCCTATACTAGTTTTGGATGCCTGTGGAAAATGAGGCTCCAATCTTTGGACTACAAACATCACTAACACCTGCGAACAAACGTATGGCGTATTAGACCTTTTGCGAATGGACACATCAGACACGTCTTGTAGCAAGCAAGGAATGATGACAGAGTGTAAGAGCGGTTACACACTACGACTTTTAGCAGCGCGTCTGCAGCGGTTGCGATGCAGTCGCCAATCGTCCACCTTTACTTTATCGCTGCTAAAAGATGGTGTGTAATTGCTCGTATTTAGCATAAAGATGTACGTAACAAAACAGTAAAAATAAGCTTCCCAGTTACAAAACAATCAGTTATCCAGACGCACGTAGGGATATCGGCCCTACTTGATCCTTTAGTCTTCAAAATGACATGTTTTGAATATTTGTAGAAAAAAATCGAAACAGGATGTGTTACCTTCCTGGAAAGTGCGGATCCGTCCTCGAGTGCCAGCAGCACAAGTTTGAGAACCTCTTCCTGCATTGCAGGCCCGAGGAACTGGCAGCCACGTGCACGCACCGCCGCCCACAGGTTCGCGCTCAACTGCTGAGGATTCTGTACACAATTTGATGCCAGTTAAAGTATCATTTCTACTTGATCAATATTCTCTATAGGCGTATTAAGCGGTTTTCGTCATCTCTTTTGCACACTGCACAAGAATGGAATTCCCTGCTTGAAGTCTTTCAAAAAAATATCTTCGCCCGTGTGTCAAACAATCAACAACCCCTGAGCATGCGTCGAAGAGGCGAAACACGTGTTGGGCATATTTTTGGTAGTGGTGATTGTGACTGTAATTGCGCTTGTGTTATTTATTTTATTAATTTTTAGGGTATAAAAATTAACTGTGCGAAAAAATATTCAACACAATCGCAGCAACTTGACACTACTTACCCTTCACTTTATCTTCATTTTTATTAACATAGAATAAATTTACTTTCATGTTTATTAACATAGACTTCCGCAAAATAGCGCCTGAATCTATTAATAACCCGAGTATCTTTAAGTTACGACTGAATAAGCATCTTCTGGGCGAGCTCGTTCCATCGTAGACCCTATTTTTGCCCAGGGCTAGGTAGCACCAATTGCATACAAGTTACATTAAACAAGGTATCTTCTTCCTTCGCCCTGTAGTTTCGGGCGTAAGAATATAACTACCACTGCCACTCGACCACGGAGGTCGTCTACAAAACCGGAACGCAATAATGTACACCTTACTCCTTGGCGGCAGAAATAAGTATGGGGTTTCCGTAATTTCCAGAACTAACTTTTTCATAAGGAATTCTATTACTACTTCACTTTCAAGCAATATAAAGGATTAGGACAAGTTAGTGTGGGTAGTTTAAGGAGGGGGAGGACGTAGCTCCACCCAGGTGCTTGAAGGGTTCCGGTGCGAAAAGCCAATCCCGGATCCCTCCCACTAGAGCACCCAAGAAGGCCACCGTAGGGTTTTAGCCGGTAGAAGTCCGGCAGTAAGCTCTCCGCTGCCCCCGCGGCGAAGATGTATCTTAGTAGGATTTCCACGAAAAAAAAAAGGTTAGTGTGGGTGGGCATAATTTTATTTCATATAAACTTATTTAATATAACAATTCACACCATTACAACGAGCGTTTATTATAAACTTACATTCTATCATTTCATTTATTACAACGATAATGTACTATAACACTCAGTTGACATAACACCAGTTAAACTAAATTTCATTTCACATAACGCCAGGTTAAAATTATTTTATTTCAATTTAAAAAAAAGATATCCCTAATACTAATATTGGTACTTGGTGACAACATTAACAAAAACTATTTAAATTAACAATATAATTAAAGTTCGAAAAGCATATATGGCAGATATTGCAAGATATTGTTTCTACAGGTTAAAAGTTTTGTACCAGACGCCAGGGGGCCTACCATATCCTTTCCAAAAACAATCTTACTTCAATGTAAGCTTAAAGTAAACCCATTATAATATTACTCATATTCGTACCATGACAAACTTGTCAACCAAGTTATGTATTATTGCTAAAGTGATTGAAAGAACGAATGATTTCCCAATATTGTCTATTCCTTACTAAAAATAGGAAAGAAATAACGCTATGTGAACTATATAATACCATCTCTTTCTTTTTTTATGTTCCGAATCGTCTTATCGTAGTATAATGTATATATATATGTGTGTGTGTGTGTGTGTGTGTGTGTGTATGTATAAAATCTATTAAAATTATGTGATTTTCAATAATTATTCCGCATTTTCATGACGAAAAATAAATAAAACAAGCTGAGTCTTGATAGTTGCGTTGTGAATTCGGAATTATAGTCTAAAGTCAAGTGTTAGTGTCGCCAAGGAGCATATAGACGTCGCTATTATAATTTTACGAAATAAACATGGCGTATTTTTATTTAACGAGAAAATATTTTGTATGTGCTATTAAATAAAAAAATAAACAAAATATTGAAGAGATTTATGTAAATAAATAAGTTCAACCTAATTTTTAATCATTACAAATCAATGCTTAGACAATAAATTCGGAAATAATATTGTTTCCATTGCGTCTGAGCATCGAGTATATAACCAGAAATAGAGACGAAATAAGGGCCATATATTCCTGGAAACACATTAGCGATACAGCTCTTATAAATATCAACTCCCCGTTTGCGCTGAAATATAGACAGGCCAACTACTGACCTGAGTGTACGAATCCGTATATTCCAAAAAATATTCTGTATTTATTGTAATAAAGATAATCAGATCGCTAACATTGCCGTGCTGTTCTGTTCGGTGGTGTGGGAAACACATTTCATCGGTAATTAAATATGTCATTTTGCAATTTTCGTCCATTATAGCAAAGCTCAAGTTAACTGGTCGATTTGAAGTGAAACAGTTGACGACTCCCATTGTCGACACCCTTCAATTGTTTCGAATTCGGGCTGGCCAATCGGAGCGCAATTGTCACAGTAATGATATAGTTTTCAAAAAAAAAAAATGACATTTTGTCTCTATTTCTGGTTATATACTCGATGCAACCGAGTAACTATTTTAAGATTGCTAAATTTGACATAAGAACAATATTACTTTAATGTTAAAGTCGCGTCATAGTACGAACTGAGTGAATGAATAGTCGCAAAGCTGCCAATATAACATCATAGCTTTAACATTATAATAAGCTTACTTTAAGCGCGTCTTGGTACGAAAAGTCAACATAAAATTAAAATAATATTGTTTTAAGCGGTTGTGGTAGGCCCCCAGAACCTAAGTGTAAAATTTGTGGATTCACCTTTGTGAGTTGTTAATATTGGTCAAGCTCGCGATGCGGACACTGTAATAGGACAATGCATACTGGCGAAAACGAAAAAATTGATACAGCATGTCCAAAACGCTTGCGCACGGCTTTGTTTCTCAATTCCATCCCGAACACATGTGCCACCTTCCTTTTTTTAAATCTTATACTGTCCCAATGCCGGGTAAAGGCCTATCTCCCCTTTCTCCTACACCTCTCTGTTTTGCGCCACAGTGGTCCAGTCTTTTAAGTGCTCGTCTCTCCGTTGGCCTGCCACATAGTAATTTTTTGTTTTTTTGGCCTGCCACATAGTAATTTTTTGTTTTTTTGGCCTGCCACATGGTAATTTTTTGTTTTT